AATTTGTATATGAACAAAATTGTTCAGAATCATGTCCGTGATAAGATATTAAAAGCGCACTAAAATCGAGAAAAGTTTATTTCAAAAGTTGCCGGTTTTTTTGCAATAACAACACTTTGCAATTAAAAAATGAAAAGTTTTTTGATAATGGTACCAATGGGGAGTCAGAACCTACCAGATGCAAAAGATTTCGTTCCGATCAGTGCATCCAGCTAGGCGTAATCGGCGGGCACACATAGAAAATAATAATAATAATAATAAAAAAAAAATATACTGATCGAATTGAGTAACCTCCTCCTTTTTCGAAGTCGGTTAAAAAGTGTTTCTATGGATCGTTGGACGCTCCTGAGACACTACGGCACTCGCGCGATCGGTGGCTCGGCCGTCGAGTCTAAAGCGGTGGAGGGGGTTCAGAAGGTGGTTTCCTCACGAATCGGCCCGAAATGTGCAAGGATTTCCGAGCACTGTTTTCTATCACGAACCGAGAAACATTTTAAAAACGCGAACCAGTAAGAAACATTTAAAGTCCGAATAACTGTAACAAACGTTTAAAACTCAAACAAGCGAACAACATTTTAAATCGTGAATCCGTAAAGTATGAACTTACAACACGAGTATTAATAACACGGACGAGTAAATCAAATCACGAAGTATCAGTCAATCAAATTATGGCTGAATCAGAATTAGCAGTGGGTACCTATACTGCGCAATATAAGCAGTAAAGACCATCATTGGCGGAATTATTAAGAGTCGTCGAATCGCTGTCTGTATTTTTGAACGCAAGTTCGCGCCTCACTGAACATATTCTTTCCATATTTTTTTTTTTATAATTTCAAGATAAATTTAAAATACTTTTAAATGACTGTCATTCATTTTTGCATCTTCAAGATAAAAAGAAATTACAATAAAAAATTTATTGTTTAGTTTGACTATTAAACATTTGAAACGTCATATCATGTTATAGTAATATCATTGCATATAATTATTATGTCCGTTAATGCTAACGATTACGTATATGTTTTACAATCAGCGTCATTTTACAAGTATTTTTTAAAAATAGAATTATAATTTAATCTGTATGCATTAATCTACTGCAGATCTTGTAAGTCTAATTATGTTACGTTTATGAATATTATCATATCATAATACAAAAGAAATTCCTTACTACTGGTTTTATACAACTTATTAAAGATGCTTTCTTCTGTAAAGTGAATTACGTTCTTCGCAGAGTTAAATCAATGTACTAGATGATATGCTATTTTCATTTAAATTCAATGCAAAAATATTTAATGAAGGAACTTCAATTATATTTGTCTAATATGATAGAAAAATTAAGTTTATTTATTTTTTATAGTTTTCGAAGATAATTGTAGATATGTTGAATAATATCTAGAATTTTCTTTTTCAGGGTACAAGTACCAAGTATTCACCTCAGCGGGTAGGACTGCAGCATGTTATGCACGATGAAGATGTTATTCAAGTAGTTAAAAAATAAAATTTTGACAATTATATGAATTATTGATGAAAATTCAAATATCATAGAAATGCTTTATATATTTTTATTTCGTATACATTAATAAGCAAAAAAATAAATTAAATTTGGGATTTATTTTAATTAATTTAAAAATGAAACTTTCAAAACGTATATTTTAGAGTAGTTTCCAAATATAATCATTTAAATAAAATTTTTTATACATTTAAATTGTACACAATTAATTTTATAAGCACATTTTTTATAATTTTATAACTGGTTGAATACAGTAAAGTCACATTAACTACTCGTTAATACTAGATCATTTCACTAATTTCACTACATCATGATTATGAGGTATCGTGGTCATCATGAAACATCGTGTAGCAGTCCCAATGAACATAACCGTAGATTAGAATTGTACGTACTATGTTTTTAGTAACAGAACGCAGCATGCAAATACGCAGTCTTGAGCTGCGATTATATCCATTACAAACACTGTACAATGTTTCTTTGTTCTTGTTGACATGTTCGTTCCTTGAAACCAATCAGCTTTCACAATAATCAATCGTATTTAGATTCAAATGATGATCGGTTAACGCGACTTTACTGTTTACAATAGTAATACCTACACGTCATTTTAAGAACATATATGTATTCTTTAGATGATAAAATTTCATTTACGTAGTGCATATTGTTTTTACACCAAAATAACACACAGAACGATGTTTTATCTGCTTGTTGGAAAGCTGGCATTTACTTTATTTATTTAAAATATTTTGTCTTTGATGGGCAGGTGTTGCATCACAACATTTGATATAGATTGCAACATCTGATCGGAGATATAGTATACACAGTGGGCATTTTTTAACGTATTTTAGGTCATACGTGAACCAAGATGAAAGGTAATCTATGACGCTACTTATGTTCTTTATGCAAAACTATGCAAAATTTGATAAAAGGAGGCAAATTCACTATGACCGATTTTACTTGCTTTTTTCTTTCTTATTATTTTCAGTTATAATACTCAATTACAAGAATTAATTATTAGCTAAGATATGAGACAAATGCTATTTATAAACTGTTTTGATAATTTTATTTATATTCTATTAATTATAATGATAATAATAAGTGTTTGTGCAGCTTGACAGTCAAGAATTGGATTTGGTTTACAGTAACCTAATTACAATTAATTCACAATTAAATGAATTATGCATTCATCCTTTGCATTCATTCAGTCATTCAGATTATCACTCTTCTGTATAGCAATTTTGTTTTACATTGAATGATTTTTATCTCTACTAACATTTGTATTATAATCCTTGTCTATTTTTCTGTCCTTTTCATTTGTAACTTTTTCAACCGCTGTATAATCTTTCTATTGCTTTGTCCGCTTACCATTTCTTCTAAAATAATATCCCTATCTATTTCTTCACATTTGATTGAGAAATGTTGGAGGTTTCCTTTGCTGTTGTACTTCGGAATAGAGACTGGGGTTCGGCCTCCTCACGACCGCGCCTCGTTTGCATAATATTTCGTCGGTCAAAAGTTTAAGACTACACAAAAAATATTGATTTTTGGTAAAAAAATATCCACAATTTTTGTTTAAACTCAATATTTTGTCCAATGGTTGTTATTTCTTATTACTTCAGTACATCTTCTTGGCATAGAATCTATTAATTTTTTACATTGATCTACCGTAATATCACTCCAAGCTGTTTCAATTGCAGAGTAAAGTTCATTTAAATTTTTCGATTTATAGCCTTGCACTGTCTTTTTTTATGATGCTCCATAAGTTTTCGATTAGATTAATGTCTGGTGATTACGACGGCAACGGCAGCACGGTAATATTTTCTTCTTGAAAAAACTGTTTCACAACCTGAATTGTATGCTTCGGATCATTGTCATTTTGAAAAATTATATCATCCCTGATATCGTTGCGTGCAAAAGGCAACATTATGTTTTTGAATATGTCCATTAGGGTGGCCCTTATTTTTCGACTTCCGATTTTTTTTTGGTCTCATCCCCTAAACTTTTGACACTTGATGAAAAAATGATAATGTCAAGGTTTCAGCATGATTGGATAACAGGAACCCGTGCCGTAATCAAGTTGAAGTTTTGAAATTTGCACGATTTCAGGTTATCGTCAAATATGGGCCTTTTATTTTAAAAGTATCAGTGAATATTTTATAATGAAAATATAATTTTTTATATATATGTAGGATCGAAATTATCGAGGACCACGGATTACTGTTTTTTGGGAATAACAATAACAAAATAGTTTTAATAACTTAACAAGAATACAAAATCAACTACAGACAATTATACAACGACTTTTCCGGATAACTTACTATTTCAATGGTTACGACAAGACTGTTCCGCGACGCCACGCCGGTTTCCTCGCTTTCTACCGATTCCCGCGTAAAATGAAACAATTGCTATTCGATTCTTTGTTCCCTCGCTAATTTTCGCGCCAACACGTAATAACGCCGAATTATCTTGGCGCCAACTGTCCGAGTCGCCCGCTCGCCCGATCGCGCCCGATCGTACCCGATGACCCTCGAACAAACCGATCCCTCATTCAGCCATTCCTGCTCCATCCTCTTCGTCCCCCGAAGAGATACTCCCGTATCGTTTCATGAAGTCAGCTGACGTTGACGTGAGCCGCGGACCTTCTCTATCTTCTATACGAACAACTTCGTACTTGTTATTTCGTTTTATTTTGGTTACCTTGTAGGGCCCCAGAAACTTCGCCTTTATTTTGAGACCGGGCCCAAACTGAGTTTTTTTAATGCCCACCCAATCGCCCTCTCAGTACGTCGTCGCCGCCTTGCTGTGCTTATTGTAATTTTGGCGGTTTCCATCCTGTATTTTGATTATATTTTCCTTTGCCATCTCCTGTAACCTGTCCCGTACCTCATTAAATAGCTCCGTCGGTTCCTGCTGAATGAGATCCAGAATTTTACAGTCTTCCCGCTGTTTCATTCTCATCCCAAACATAACCTCGAACGGAGACATCCCTACACTACGTTGGTAGGTGCTGTTGATGCTGCGCTGCACCTTGTCTACATACCGATACCACCTGTCCGGATTATCTAACGACAACTTAGCCAATACCGGTATTATTATTCAGTTTATTCTTTCGACCTGGCCGTTGCCCCGTGGCACTCCTGCGGTGATGAGTATGTGCTCTATATTTTCTCCGGTGCAATACTCACGAAATTCGCTCGACGTGAATGCAGTCCCTCTGTCCGAAATTATCCGCGTCGGGTTTCCGAACGTCTTCTGCTGTAGCTTCAATCTGTCCAACACTTCTGCTGTTTTGACGGTCTTAGTGGGATATATCCATACAAACTTGGAGAATCCATCTACAACTATGAAAAGTTATTTGTATGCTTTACCTGTAGTTGTCATTGGGCCCAGATGATCTATGTGGTATGTCGCCAATGGTACGTCCCCTTTGGGTATCGGTTGGAGTTCTCCTTCTACTTTCCCCTTCTTTTTTTTCGGCTAGTATGCAGGGTATGCAACATTTTACATACCTTTCCAGCTTCCCCGTCAAATTTGGTATATAAAACTCTTCGGCAATCTTTTCAGCCATCTCTTTTACTCCAAAGTGCCCATTCTCGTGCTCTCCCCGGATCACATCATTGCACATTGAAGTCGGCAGGACCACAACTCGTAATCTTCGTAGGGTTCGCTCCTTAACACCTGCTTTATTGCTCGAATTCGGTCGTCTTTTTCCTGTCTCACACGCAACATACTACTTAACCTATCCTCGATTACGCGAACGGGATACCGACTTAACGCATCGACGTAATTGTGATCCCGACCGATGTTCGACCTCGTACTCGAACTCCTCCAACGTCAACGCCCATCTCGCGACCTTAGGTGCTATGTCTTGTTTATATAACGTTTTTTTCAGCGCTTCGCAATCCGTAACTAACTTAAATTTAACTCCTAAAAGATATAATCTAAATTTTTGCACCGCTCTTATGACCGCTAACAATTCTAATTCATAAGAATGATAATTTCTTTCGGGGTCAGACGTTTTTTTATTCATAAAATGTACGAAAGCAACATTTTTTCTCCTACATTCTTCTGCAACAATACCGCGCCATATCCTTCTTTGCTCGCATCCGTGTGTAGTTCGGTTTCCGTCATCGGACTGTAGATTCGTAACATCGGTCCGCTCGATAACGCATTCTTTAACGCATCGAATGATCTTTGTTGAGCCGCTCCAAATCGAAATTTCGCATCATTCTTTAACAGTTCCGACAGCGGACGGGCCAGCTTAGCATAATCACGAATAAATTTTCTAAAATATCCCGTCAAATTTAAAAAACTTTGTACCTGCTTCCTATTTCTCGGCGCTGGAAAATGCTCTACCCCTTTCGTCTTTAGCGGCGAGGTGTAACGTCCCTGGTACTAGACTCAGGTATTTACAGCGCTTATGAAGCAAAGAGCGGCTTTTGCCTATTAAGGGGTAACGCCACTCTAGAAGTCAGAAAAAAAGGTGATTTTCGGGAATTTTTAAAGTAATAATCGTACAAGTTATAAGGTCAGAATAAAAAAGGCCTTATTATATATGTTTTGAAGATGGTTTGTAAATTTTTAGAAACAATTTGGATTAAAAATGGCGGCTGCAGGTGCTGGCAAGTAACAACACCATTTTTTGAAAGGGCTTTATGGCCGGACTGTTTTTTCATTAACGCATGGTCCTAAATCAAAAAATCCAAAAATTTCTCATATTATATACCAAAATCTATGGAACATCGTACGGAAATTAAAAAATATTAATAATTGTTAATTTAGTGTAGATATGAACAAAAAGTTTCGAAAAACGGCAGAAAATTAGGCATTAAATTGTTAATAAAAAGTTAAGTAGTTAATTAATCAAAAAATCCGTACGATGTTCACTGCATTATACTATTTTACACCTCTCCACGAAATTTCAAGTCGATTAGTTAAAAACTTTTCGAGTTATTTGTCCGGCCAGTTCAAATAAAGTGATTTCGAGAAAAACGCGTTTAAAGTTTTGATTGCCATTCAGCATAAGAAATTTGTTATATAACTTTAATCAGCGATGCCTGCACCATACATTTGGCCTTCTATATTAACATCCTCCATGTCCTCTTCCTTCTTATTGAATCTAAGATTCAATCTCGACATTTTTGAAGCTTCATTCAAAGATTGTTCTGAAAACTCTACGCATCGGGCGTCGGTTTGTAGGCAAAAATTGTAAAAAAATTCGTTTCCGACCTGCCCCTCACCTAAAACTTTTTTCTCATATTCTATACATAATAAAACATCATTTAAGCAAAAAAAAAAATTTTCGACTTTTTCAAAATTCTAGAGTGGCGTTACCCCTTAACCATATTATGCAGATATGATCGATAGAACTACAACTACTATACTCATTACTCTTATTATTATCAATCTAACTCATATTATTAGCCATATTATGCTTATATATGGTTAAAGAGTGAAATATATAGGTTAATACCTTTCATTAATTAGGTTTATTCAAGTAACGATGAAAAAGAGTTATAATTAAAAATTTCTTTAGCAAATATAAAAATATATGTACGACTGAATTTTGTAAGCAAGATGGAGTATACTAGACTTGTTGTTGTCGAAAATCGCAGAATGGTAGCTAACTACTTCAATTACGCGGTTTTATAGTGATATACGCAACGCAAGAAAATAACGCAACTGAATAATGGATCTAGATCCTAACAAAACTGACAGAACAATATTTGGTTATTTACAACAACTCTAAATTTTGTACTGGACGTAGAACAGTTACTCCTTGTTTGACTCTATACTAATTAGTTTCATGGCCCTTTTTATCAGAGTACAAATCGGCACCCAAAACCTGATCGCTTAATTAGGGAGCCTGCGTTAGTTAGCTGCTAGAATTACCCAACGATGCAAGAATCAAGTGACCGACGTGTGACCAACAGGATTGCAAATAAAAATGACTCGACTTTAATTCTTTATTGAAGTTACTGAAACGCCACTCAAAAGACACGGGCTTCAGAGACCAAGCCGCTTAATAATGGGGAGCCTGCGTTAGCTAGCTACGAAACGACCCACTACTAAACTACCCAGAGCGAACTCCGAGAATCTGACGGCGAGTTAATAACTTAGAAAAACAAGAAATATATATATGAGTGAATGGTGAGCTCTCGTTTGATGTCTTAGTTCTTTCTGGGGCTGAGCATAGCACTCTCCTTATGGAGTTTTAGAGACAAGATCGTTAAGCGTCCGACCTCCTCAGGCCAAAGCATTCTTTAAAAATCCAGCAATAGTACCGGTAAATGTAGAGACACAAACTTTTTTATCCAACAAACGGATTAGTCGCGGATCGGAACAGTAATGACGTTTCCTTAACTCTTTTCGTTGAAATTTCAAAGTTTGATCCATCAGTTCATAGGGAACAAAGAATCGGAGCCATTTGAAACTTCGCATACATTTTGTGGGCAATATGAGCTCAAAAAAAAAGCCTAGACGTAATCATTGCAATACTTATTTACAAAGATACCGCAACTTTTGTAATTTGAGGAAAAAACACCGTTTTCGGACGTTGTTTTACATCAACATTAAGCATAAAAAAAAACATTTAATCAAAAACTGATATACCCATCTTAAAGGGTACACTCTCCGCTTTCTGGAACCGTATTTACAATTTTTGTTCGATGGTGAGTTCATGAGATAATGACTATCAAAGGAAAAAGCGTCATTTCGGCCTTGGTAGCTCATAACTTTGCGACCGATCGTCGAAACGAACTTCATGGACGTGCAAATTACACTGTACAACAAATTTTGACTTTTTTTTGATTTCGTAACGGCTACTATGAAATTCTTATAGATTTTTGCAAGCTGAATACGAATCTGAAATCAGTTTTTCTCTAGGACGTACAATTTTTGAGAAAATTAACTTTAAAAAAAAATGCAAATTTTCAACTTTGGAAATTTTTTGTGCTTTTACCGCAGCAGCTATTCAGTAGCTTTTTACACGAGAAGAATCTGTGAATTTTCCTGAATAAAACTATATAAATTGTTATTACATTGTAAATATTTAAATACGTTTAAATAATGATCAAAGTAAGAAAAACACCAAAAAAGCACCAATTTTTCCTGATATTTTTCAATTTATTTAAAAAACTATGGGTCTAGGCGAAAATCTAACCATCCCACATGATAGAGTAGACATTTCTGCAGAAGAATGTAACAAGCGAAGTTACAAAATCACTTTTGCTTTCCTTTTATAAAAAAAATAGGGCGACTGCCGCGCCGCGCCAACATCGAGTACCACTGATAGCGACGCGTGTTTTGCTAAATTATTTTTTTTATAAAAGGAAAGCAAAAGTAATTTTGTAACTTCGCTTGATGCTTTCTTCTGCAAAAATGTTTACTCTATCATGTGGGATGGTTAGATTTTCGCCTAGACCCATAGTTTTCTAAATAAATTGAAAAATATCAGGAAAAATTGGTGCGTTTTTGGTGTCTTTCTTACTTTGATCATCATTTAAACATATTTAAATATTTACAATGTAATAACAATTCATATAGTTTTATTCAGGAAAATTCACAGATTCTTCTCGTGTAAAAAGCTACTGAATAGCTGCTGCGGTAAAAGCACAAAAAATTTCCAAAGTTGAAAATTTGCATTTTTTTTTAAAGTTAATTTTCTCAAAAATTGTACGTCCTAGAGAAAAACTGATTTCAGATTCGTATTCAGCTCGCAAAAATCTATAAGAATTTCATAGTAGCCGTTACGAAATCAGTTGGCTGTTGTACAGTGTTATAGGTGAAGGAACAGGGAACAGCAGTCTAGAAGTGGCATTAATCAACAAAATTTTTCTACGTCTGTACAAACCTTAAAAAAAAGAAAAAAAATTCGAAAATTTTTTTATCGCGATTTTTTGTATGTTTTATTAATGATAATAGGCTCAAAAAATTTTTGAGATAAAGGGTCGAAAACTAGAGACCTGAAGCTTCAAAATGACTATTCTGGATGTCTTCTGTGATGAATTTCAACGGAGGCAGAGCAATTTGAAAATGGCCTAAAAATTTAAGGAATTTTTCTGTTCCCTTAATTTTTTTGACTAGTGTATATTTAAAATTCGCGCAACGGCTGAATCAAAATCATTCTGAAAATCACTTTCTTTCCGAGATACCACAAAACCGTTATCAAATGACAATTTAATTGAAGGATTCGAAGAAAAATCTCGTCCCAAAATTGCCATAAAAGTCATTGTTTTATCTGGAACTACGAAAAATTTAATTTTAACAGGAATTCCTTCTACTTTAACTTCTCGATCAAAAAGACCCAATATCTCCATTCGCGAACCATTAATCCCTATAAATTCATACATTTCATCCGGTAACGGAGTTTCTATCTCTTTCGGAACCAAACTGTTTTTTAACCGACTTCGAAAAAGGAGGAGGTTACTCAATTCGATCAGTATATATTTTTTTTTTTTTTTTTTT